TTCGCACCATTTTTAGTCACAATAGCAAACTTAACTGGTTCGATGTTCCAAACTTTGCTGAATGAAGACTTTTCAAAATGGTAGAAGTAAACATTCAAATAAGCGAATGGGTCTAGTTCTTCTTTAAGTCCTGACATATATTTGTTGACTGAAATATATTTCGTCATCTTTTCTATCGGATAAAAAAATATTTTTTTTAAAATTTACTCATAAAAATTTTTCTTTGTATATACGCCGTTCTGAACATCTAAAAGACTTTTGACATTTGCCAAGAATGTTCGTTTAGACGCTGCCATATAACCATATTCTTGACAATATTGTTTATACGAATCGTACAATGACCTTTCATCTAAACACTCAAAGTTAGTCTCATCTATAAACAGTTCATATACACTCTTGTTTGCTTCTAACAATGTTTGTCTTTCTTCGGTATGTGGAATTTGTCTTGGATTGAACTTAGAAATATCTAATGTCATGAAATATGAGAACAAGTGGTTGTAAAAGTCAGATGTCAAAGTTTCTGCTAAGTCGTCAAAATATTCTGTATCTTGCATATGAGAATCTGACGTTCTGACAACTACATATCTTCTGTCAGAACTTTCTAACTTCATCGGAACAGTATTGTTTGAAACCATAATGAAGTTTGCAACATTCTCACAAACTCTTGAGTCTTTATACTTTCTTTCAACAACTCCAACTTTATCTGTTATAAGACTCTTCAAAGCATCTGAGTTTAAAACTTTTGTTGTATCTATACTTTGAAGTTCATTGCAAACTATAAGTTTCATATTCTCAATTGAGGAGTTAAACTTGCCACAGATGTTTTCTAAGTTTGTCATATTAGGGTTCGAATAACCTTCTAATAGTTTGCACAAAATATCTGTAAAGAAAGTATTCTTACCTGTTCCTTGTTTTCCAATTATAATGAGAGCAGTTTCATTTTTAGCACTTGGATGTTGTAAGATGTTTGCAAACCAACATAAGATATACTCATAAACCTTTTCGTTTCCATTGCATATAATTTCTTTGACATGGTCTAACCAAGCTTCTATAATATTTTCTTTCCATTCTACTTGTTCGTATTTATATCCAGTGAAGATAGAATAGAAGTTTGGAGAAGGTGTATAGAACTTTATACCTCGAACTGAAAAATCTTCTAACTTTGACAATAAGATATCCCAAGCATCTAACATCTTCATTCCAACTTGTACAACTTTTATTTTCTTAAGTTTCTGTCTACATTCTTGTTCTGAAACTATTGTCGCTTTAGGTTTGTTAAAGACAACATCCCATTCTTTCATGACATAACATTCTGGGGCAGAGTCGACATAAATGACTAAACGTTTCAAATTCTCGACTGCTTTGTTATAGTCTCTAAATGGACACATATTTCTGAAGGCTTGGAAGTCATAAAAATCTGAAACATCTATTCTGTACATTTTTATAAAAATAAAAAAAATATTATTTTTATTCTTGACTTTGTTGTTCCATTTGTTGTTCTTGAGCTATTTGTTGTTGAAGTTGTTCTTGTAATACAATACTTTCACCAGTTGCATCTTCCAATTCGAAACTTTCTGCCGTCATTGACAAATACATAGGACATAAAAGTTTTACAGGAACAAAGTTTGCGTCAACTAATGTCAACGTTATACTTGCCAAAGTGTTTGAGTTCACTAAGGTTGAAAATTCTGCATTCGAATGAACAATAGGCAAACCAGCAGAGAAAGTATTGTTTATACGCATAAGTATCTTTTGGTCATAATAGTTTCTGTCGACATTCGAATAACACTTTGAACCTAAGTTTGAAACAATATATAAGATTGGTGTGCTTAATGTCAATGGAATAGACATTCCTTGTATGACACCTTTTCCTGTTATAGGAAACTGTTGGTAGTAAAAACCAGAAATAAGTTTTGTATTATAGCTCATATCGTTTATAGTAAACTCAGTCGGACATCCAAACATAATGAAACCTGCTCTAGTTGCAGCACATGTTACACTCGTACGTAAAGTATTAAATAAGTCAACAAAACCTGTTGGTGGTATATCTGAGTAAGTATCTTCAAAGGAGTATTTTTTACCATTCACAACAATAAAGTCTTCTGGTGTCAAAAGAGCAAAACAGGCTTTAGTCGTCATTGTGTTTAAGGTTAGTTTACAATATCGTCCTTGAGGACTTTGTAAGTTTGTTGTTATAGAATTATATGACTCAGGGTTTTTAGTCGTAATAGTATAAACCACTATGTCTTCTGCCATTTACTTAGCAAGTAAATTTTAATGAAATGTTGTGGTCGTCAAATATTTTTATGACGTCTGGGAAACTATATTTTAAGTTCAACGTTTCACCTCCTTTCATAACGTATATCTTGTCAATGACATTGTATGAAACACCACAGCAAGCAATGTCGGGTTCTATTTCTTTGATGTTTATATCGTCTGCCTCTGTCAAAAGTTTCAATAGTTCTTTCAAAACTTCATGAGGTGCGATGACATATGAGTTCACTTTTACAGGGTTGTGTTCGACCAAGTTTAACATTATACCCAAAGCTTGACAAATCTTCTCCTGAGTTTTAAGTTTGTCTTTAAGTTGTTGGTAGTCGTTTCGAATATCTGCAACAGAACTTAAGTCTCTGCTAACTTCAGGGTATGTTGGTTGTTCTTTTACAGGAACTATTGTTATACCATCTTCGTCTTCGTATGGTTTCCCCACTTCAACATCTCTTTCTTTGACATTGACAACAACACTTTGACTGTTTGTTTGAGTTGGTGAATTTAACTTCACATCTGCCATCGCCATTAAACCTTTTGAAACACTTACGCTTCTATTTTTCGGAAATGACATTTTACTTAGAATAAAAAGATGGACGTATTTGAGTATCTCTTCGAATTGAAGCAGAACAAAGTTTACACACACAAACAATACAAGTTCATTGACAGAATAGTTCTTTATACAAACAATGGAAAATGTTATAGAATAGCAATATTTGCTGAACCAAAATATTTTCATAAAGCAAAGAAAGTTGGTATAACTGAAATGGTGAAAGTTCTTGAAGCAGACAAAAATATAACAACAAAACTGACCGATATTTCTAAAGGAAAGTTTATCTTACAATATTATGTCAAAACTGGCGTACTGTCAATATTTGACGGAGAGAAGTCAGTTCAAGAACAACTTACTGACCTGCTGCCAAAATCTGCTCGATGGAAGCTGTCGTTATGCCAATCTGAGGAGCCCCAGCAGGTTTCATCGAACGAATCTTCAAAAGAGCATCTTCCGTGAAAAGTGCTATTGGTTTTGTAAACTTCTTTGCTCTCAATTCATCTGGACCGTCTCTGTCACCAGTATATTGTATTTGAACTGTACCAACAGTTGAAATACCACCCATAAAGTCTTCTGAGTCAGCAAATGGAATGCCAAGCCAAAAGTTTGAACGGTCTCCATTTGTATATTGAGTTTTTTGACCTCCTGTATGAGTCCATACTTTCACATATGGCATAATAGAACTTTGCATTTCAGGGTTAATGGTTGTTGTGAAGTTGTTGTTAAAGTTCATAGCATCTAATGTCAAGTTGTATGACCTCATATCCTCAACTGTAGAATATTCTTCTCTTGGATAATATTTGCCATCTATGTTTATATGGTATTTAATACCAGGGTTGTAGAAGCAAGAATAGTCATTTATAGTTCGTCTGAACAGTACAAACATAGTATCTGCATGTTTCATTGCAGTTGTTAAAGCAATATCTGTTCTTGCACCTGGGTCAGCACTTTGGTTTCCAACTTCACCTGCAAAGTCTTTGACAGATATTTGGTGTATAGGGAACATAAGTGGAACTGCAATATATTTGGCAGCTAAAGCATTTGAAATATCTGGGTCCAACATATAGACTGCAAGTCTGCTTTCTATTCTCTTGCATTCAAACTTTTCGCATGTGAACTTAACTGGGTCCCAAGCATCTCCAGCAGCATTGAAATAATAGTTTACTTCAGTGTTGAGGTTTGAGAAACCAAAGTCTAAGTCAACTTTGTTTTTGCAAAAGTCGGCGAATGACATTTTATTTGTTCCCACTACTTCTGTAAGAGTGAATGGGTCTTGTGTTGGTGCAATGACTAAGTTATTTTTGCTTGGAGTAAGTTCGATAGAAATTTTTCCTGCCCAGTTTGGCAAGTATCTTAAAAACCTGAAGATGAGGAAAGATGACAAAGGAACTCTAAGTTTCAGTTTTACTTTGGTTACTGCTGCTGCAGTTTGTCCAGAAAGGTCAACATAAACTCCTGGAACGTTAGGGTCAAGTCTTCTTATTTTCTCAATGGTGGCATACTGGTCTGTTTGTTCTCTAGCTTGTGGTTGTACTGAGTTTCTCAAAGCGAACCATTCATAGTTTGCCCATGTTACTGTTTGAACTAAGTCAGAGTTAGAATATATCTTATATCCCATGAAAACTTCTGGAGCATATTGGTATCCGACATAGAAAATTCCATTGCAACCTTTCTTGTCAGACAACTTGGCAGAAGGTTTTATTTCAATGTCTTGTTCCACGTATAAGAAAGAGTTGTCAATAGAAATTATATGAAACCTGTCGCAAGCAATATCTACTGTTGTTGAAGAACCTTCTCCAAACTCACCTACGTTTCCATAAGAAACAGCAGTTGTATATTCGTAAGTTCCAGGAACTATTTCTGACCTTCTAATGGCATTGTCGCATTCGTTATACCATTCGGAAACATTTCCATTCATGGCATCCAAAACTGTTGGCGTTATATTCTGAGCGGCGTACATTTCATATGAGTAAAAATATAGAATAGTTGGATTTATATGTCATAATAGAACCCACTCCGACCAAGCTTTACTTTCTTCCTGACTGAGTTTTTAACTCTTCTTTTTCCTTCATTGCCCTCTGCTTGAAGTTGTTGCATCTTTGCATTATGTTCATCTAGTATGTTGCAAATTTCCCATGTCCTTTTTGCCTTTTGGCTCTGGTCGCCCATCTCAGGTAACCTATATCCTAGAAAGAGTTTGTCATAGTCTGTATTTGAGTCTTCGCGTATTGTTTGCATGACTCTTTCCTGAGTTTCCGGTTCAAGCGCTTCAAACAGTGCCTGTCCATATGGAATAAGCTCGTTTCCAAATATATGTTTTTGTAGCCATTCTGGTTTTCTTTCCATGTTACCAACTATATCTTTTGTGAATGGGAAAGCTTTTACCCAATCTTTCAGTCTTGCGTCGTTTATTTCTGTAGTTGGTTTTATTTTGTCAAGGAACATGTTTTTCAATACTAACATTTCATTTGGTACTGTCCATTTGAGTTTTCTTAAATATTCATCCCTTCTCGATTCATCGTCTGCAAAGTAAGTTTTTATGACATTTTGTAAACTTTCGTTTGCAAGGTCATGTACAATAGGTTCTCTTCCTTCTCTCTCCCTAACTTTCTTTCTAAACTCTTCACCAAATATACCATCTTTATGGTTCTGTGTAGTTCTTTGAGATAAATGTTCTAGAACGTCAGGTGTTATATTTCCATCAGCCATGTTCATTTCATACTGGTCCAAAATATCTGCATCTTTCATATCTTTCAATGGCATTAAAGCCGCGCTGAAAATACCAGCTATATCTGGTTCACCATTGACTTCCATTGCGTCTACAACTTCTTGGAATTGTGGTTGTAAGTTTATGAACCACCTATCCGGATTAGCTTTATGACCCCATCTCATTGTAGTTCCATCGTCTGCAGAAACAAAAGTAGGTTTGTTTCCATCTTGGTTAGGTTCTGAATGAACTTTAAACAATGTTTCATTTCTATATGTTTTCTTGAAATTTAACCTTTTATTTTCACCGAGTTCATCCGAAGATTGAACGTTAAATGCTCGTAAGTAAAAAGGGTTGTTGTATTTGTGTACATTTTTTTTCAGTTCTTCCATTCTATGCTGGATATTTTCATCTGATGTTGGAGTCTTTTGTATGTCGGCAAACATTTTTCGATATTCTTCTACTATGTCAGCCGAATTTTTTTTAGACTCTTGGAAATATTCCATATTCTCCGCATACTCTTGTTGAGGGTCAAGATTTTTCGGCTGTTCCAAATCTTCATCTAGTTCTGTGAAGTTAGTTTCCAAAGGAAGGACTTGTTCGTTTCCTTCAGGCTCTTCTAGCTGTTGTTGCTGAACTATTTCTTCCATGTCTGGTTGTATCTGAACTTCTTCCTGTGGAGTTTCTTGTACCTCATCTGCTGGCATTTCATATATTCCGAGACCGTTTTCAACAATTTCCCTATCTACGTCATCCGCATTCATAAGCTTTTGTTCTTTCGTTCCGTCTCTATTTTTTACGCGTTTCATGACGAAAGTTGAATTGTCATTTAGCTCTGACATCAAATATCTCGGAGTAAATTCATCCATGTCATTTGGATGATATGCTATTAAATCATATCCCTTAGCGAGCTTGTATTTTCCAGGTTTGAGATTATATCCGTTTTGGTGCTGAGCCATAAAGCTAAATAGGTTCGGGTCAGTATTTCCATCCTTGAACTTTCTAATAGCTTCTTTATATCTGTCACTAAAGTCAACAGTATCTGGGAAACCACACTCTTCTTTAAGCATTTTTAAGAATTCTTGGTTTCCTTGTTCTCTACTTCTTTTATGTCCTTGCTCTGTTTGTGGTTGTTGTTGTGCAGGGTTTTGAACTGTTGGTTGCTGTGCTGGTTGTTGTGTTGGTTGTTGTGCTGGTTGTGGAGGTGGTTGTTGTGCTGGTTGTTGTGCATGCCTGTGTCTGTGTCCATGTGACGATGTAAATGTTCTAGGTAGTCCTGGTGCAGGTGCTTCTCTTGGAGGGTTTGGTGGTATATAAGTTCCACCAGCTGGCACATATGTTCCATCTGCAGCGTAATGTCCTACCTGACTTTTCGTTTTTAAGAAAGCATTTACTAGGTCTGTTTTGGTCTGTTGTAACTCTTTTTCTTGACTTTTCACAACAGTTGCTCTAACGGCGTCATAGGCACTTTGAACTGCCTGTCTCGTTGCTGCATCTGTTATTTTCGTCATATTTTGTGCTACTTCTTTTAACTCTTTGTCGAAACCTTCAGACTTCAGTTTCTTTCCAGATGAGAAGTCGTTCACTTGTTTCACCTTACTATGAAGAGCTTCGAAAGCGTTCTTAAAGTCAGCATTTGTTAAAGCTTCATTTGAACTATCTTCATCCGCTTGTATTTTTGTCCTTATTGACCCTATGAGTTGGGCTGCTTTAGCGTTGGCTTGGGCATCTAACCAGTCATTGTTAGCTTTTATATATTCTGCGCTTTTCATTGCCTTTTGCATAGCCGCGTCGTTATTTTTACTTTCTTGTGCTAAGTTTTCATACTGTACGGTTTGGTTTTGCAACTGTAAAAGTTTTTCTGCCTTTACATTTGCTTCAACTTCTTTTTTATACTCATCGCTATCCATATATGTCTTCAGGGCTTTTTGTTTTATCTCTTCATCTTTCAGTATTTTATATTGAGTAGTATGGTTTTTCAAATTTATGACATCTTGTTCCATTTTTGCTACTTCTGCTGCTTTTTCTGACACTTTTTTCGCATATTCCTCTGTACTTAGTTCTTTCAGTTGTTCTTCTTTCTTCTTTTTCTCTACGTTTAACTCATTGAGTTTCTTTGTGTGTCTGTCATATTCTAGTTTCTTTTCGTTTTCACTTATTTGTTTCTGTATGTCTATGTTTGACTTTTTGACATCTGTTATTTGATTTTTGAGTGAACTCAAATTCATTTGACTTTGAGGGTTATAAGCTGTTCCGTCTGCAGCTCCACCATAGCCTGCCATTTTCGCTAAAAGTGCCGCTCTTAAACCTCCACTCTGTGCACCAATAACTCGGTTTAAAAGCATAGGGTTGCTTGACATTTGTTGCAACATAGTGGGGTCATTCATCATTTGTTGTTGCAACTGTTGTTGTGGTGTCAGTTTTACTATTGGATGTTTCAATGCTCTCTTCCTCTTACGTATATTCTTACGTAGCTTACGTGGCATTTTAAGTGAAGTAAAAAACGGTTTTTGACATATGTTTATATGACACTTTTTGTTCAGCACAAAAAACTACTCGGTCAAAGTGTTGTCAGTTTTGTAAAATAACCGTCCTATGTCATTCTATAAGGGAAAAAGGCTTCTCAAAGCATACTTCCTTGGAACGCCTGTAACTTTTCCTGTAGCGACGATAGACCCTTACTTGTCCGGACAAAGTTATACTATTTTGAGTGCTCTACAAAAAAAGTCAACGGCGACGACTCTCAAAAACCGTTGTGTAAAAAGTTTTACCGTTGGACAAAAAAGTATATATAGAAAACAAAAAACGTTTATAGTTCATTCAATATTTGAGATGGAACGGTTTTCCAACGGTAACTATTAAATAAAATAAAAAAATAGAGGGGGTCTCCGTTGACGAAAACGGTTTATTTTAAACTTTTCTATGAGTAGTCCGAAAAAAAAACATTTCATTTTTCATAATGTACGCGTCTCGAACAGTGAAGCCCAATTCAATAGAATACTATCTCGAAAAACAAGAAGCTGACACTGCTATTCAGTCTTTAATACAGAACCAAGCTCAGGAGAACTCAAAAGACTCCCAATTCAAATCGACATCCAATTCGAAGCAATTAAAACTTGACTCGAATGTTTTAAAATCACAGCCCGCACGAACAAATACAGCTCTAAGAATAGACCAAAGAATACCGAACAAAGAGTTGAGGTCAAGATTGAAATTACAATCGGATGAGTATTTTTCCCTTAACAACCAGGGAAATACTCCATATAACCGTATCTACACAAATACCGTTAAAGAAACAATAACGGCATACACAAAACTCTGTCAATTGGTCCCCAACCAGGACCAATTGACGGACATTATATGTTCCTACCTTCCCATATTTGCTGAGTGTGTGGAAGGTAGGACATTGTTACAAGCTTGCTTACGTATGCCACCAAATCTCCGTCAACAATTTGCTCAAATTGTACATGAATTTAAAGCTTTTAACAACGGATACGATGAAGATGAAGTAGCAGATGAATTTGGGGAAGAAAAAACATTTTTCCCCTCATATAATACGCCTGCAACAGTATTTCCTACTAATGAATTTCACAACTATTGTGTCGTTCATTTAATTGTTGTGGATATGCCCACAGGTGAAGACATTCTCAGTGGTGACTTCATCGAAGTCTGTATCAATACAGAATTGGGAGAAGATGAGTTGCACAAATTCTCCTACGTCGAACATATATTCAAACCAGCACACCAACTCTTTATCGAAACTGAAATAACACTCACACAAAATATGTCCATCTCATTTAAATCCAAATCAGGACGTCCATACAGAATTTGGATGAACTACGTCCTCTTCCACTCCGCCGACGATGACGAAGAAGAGGAAGAAGAGGAGGAGGAAGAAGAAGAGTCCTCCGAATTCACACCAGAAGACTAACAATTTTCCGAATAAAAACTTCATTTATACTAAACATCATCAGGGCTAGAAGGGGCGCAGCCCCTGGAAGCCCCACTACCATTTTTTTTTTTTTTTTTTCATTGTACAAGGTTATAGATTAAAAAAAGAGAAAATCAAAATTCTGATTGTGTATAATGTTTCAAATCATAATATATTGTGTTAGATAATTATGTTCAGAAGAAATATGAGGAAATTCAATATATATTTGAAACTATTTATTAAAATTTAAAATTAATTTTTTTTCATTTATTGTTTCCAAATGACGGAAACAACAGATCTCTTTGACATCGGGACATCAAATGCATGGGAGCCACAGTGGACTGAAACAGTGACGTCTTGGTCCTGATCATTAAGTAAAACAGCGCCAATGAATCCGTTTGTGTTAATAGCTGATGTAGCATAGACATTTGAGCTTCCTGAGACTGTTGTTCCAAGTCTGATGGAGTCTGGCTTAATAACTTTGGAAAGATGTGCCATATCATAGTAATGAGACCTGTAAATGAGCTCTGAGTAACCAGGAACTTTAACATCAACTGCTCCATAGGAATTGGAGCATCCATTTGGACGATATGGTCCATGGTTTGTATCAAGAAGCAAATTCCACATGATTGCGCATTTGCTGCCTTTATTAAGGGTTCCAATACCGATTTCACGTGTATTCCACATCAAGTCGCCCTGGAAATTGTAATTCCATTCGCCAATTGCTATTTCTGTGAAATATAAATTCTTATTAGGATATTTGCTAGTAACATAGTCCATTTCTGTGTTGGAACCACCATAAGCATGATAAGCAGCACCATCAATGTATTTATTAGCCTCGGCGTCATCGTAAATGTGAACTGGATAATGTTCTTGAGTAACAATGTTATCGTAGTTATAATTATGGTCGTAAATAATGATCTTTGTCGAAATGTTGTTTGCAGCGAACTGTGGACCAAGAGCTGTCTTAATAAAATCTCTTTGTTGCTCGTAGCCCATGAAACAAGAAGCGGAGTTGCCTTTATTAAGTGGCTCATTTTGTAATGTGATGGCGTAGATGTGAAAATTGTATTTGGCCATTGCTTGGACGTATTTGACAAAATAAGTAGCATATTCTTGGTAAAGTCTTGGATCAAGGTAACCAGAAATGAAGGAATTATGTCTTCTAAGGGTGGACAGGTCTGAAACCTTCATCCAAATAGGAGGAGTCCAAGGAGTTGCAATAATTTTAACAGAAGGGTTAATCTTGAGAATTTGCTGTATAATTGGGATGATAATGTCTGTATCTTCGGAATCAAGAGCGAAATTGTCAATTCCTTCTTTATCACATTCTGTGAAATCTTTGAGAGAAAAGTCTGAGCAACCGATAGAAATACGAATGAAAGAATAGCCCATACCTGTGTCTGGATCGAATGTATCTTTAAGGAACTTGTCTCTTGCTTCTTGAGTCATTTGTTTTAAGTTATATGCTGTGGAACCTGTAATAGCAGCTCCAAATCCATCGATCGTTTGGAACTTTGAATCAGGATTGATGACAACTGTTGGATTATTGCCAGAAACTTTATTAAATGAAATTACAGATGGTTCGAAAAGTTTGCTTTGATCGCCTGTTGTTGTATATGCATACACATTATCTGCATTTGGTAATCCACGAAATCCTTCCCTATGAGGACCTAGATTTGACATACACTAGATTTTTTGGTTGGATCGATATCACATCACCTGACTGGATTCAAATATTTGACTAGGGTCTCTGAGGTGAGATGATGCATTCAATTTTTCACTTCCCTTCTAACTCAACTAGGATATCGTTCAAAAGGAGTTATCAGAATTTTTTGAGAAGTGCTTTCTTTTGTCGCTTTTAGCATAAACTATAGGGTCCTTTGTTCGGAATTCGGTCATTTTTTACACCTATAAAGAAATGGGTTTATTTGTGCGCTATTAGCAGGAGTTGCATCCAGATTTTTACCGCAGTGGAGTACAATAGCCAGAGGTGCATTTGGAATGGACGGGGAAAGATTTGAGCTACATTAGTTATAACTTGAAAAGAGAAGAAAGCACAACCTATTCATATACAAACCTGTACAGAAAGGTTGGGACGTAGGCACGAGATGCAGCAAATCTTTTTCAAAATCTGAAACAGAGAAAAGTTCAAGGATGGAGACAATTGTAGCGAAGACAAGCAGGAAAACTATTATAACAAGCAAATTGACTACTATAACCAAGCCAGGACCACTATATGGACCAGGTTGAAAGATTCTTTAACAGAGGATATTTAACCATGACCAACAGTGGGTTAAACAATAACCAACCTAACCGCCTCAAACGTGGGAATGTAACAATTTTTACCGAGATGAAATGAAAACAATTACAGCATTTGAGGACAAATGGGTTCACAGATGGATTTGTCGACTTCCAGCAGTTACTACACCACTGTTGTCAAGTTCTTCTATACCTCAGGAAGTTTTAGACCGACTTAAAACCTAAACAACCAGTTGAAAACAAACCAAACATAAAATTTTTTACTGAGATATGAAAGTGACGAAGAAGTTGAAACGGCTAGATTGGACACCCAAAACAAAAGTTCAGAACCATGTCAAAACCTGTCAAAGAAACTTTACAGATTGAAGAGAAAATTCAATAATAGGAAAGTGCCAGGTCTGGGAAATTACAAACACCTAACCTACAAAGTCACTTTTCAAGAATGAACGGCTATTTATCTCAAAAAAAAAGAAACAGACTCTCACAAATAAAATATTGAAGTCTGAAGGAGCTTTCGAGACAACAATTGGAAAGTTTACGTTCACTGACCAAACAGTTTATCTATAGAACATCTCATTGACTTTAGAGTCGAAAATTCTAAACTTATACAACAAACACAAAAGTTGAAAGGAAAACAAAAAAAACAAATGGCATATGATATTTATGAAGATGTTGACGACACAACTGTCTGCAGGTGGGGTAAAAGTCAGAGGAACCGAAAAAAGTGACGAAAAACCGAATTAGAAGAAGAAACAAACAAAAACTGCAAGATAAACCAAACCAAAGTTTAGTTTCCAAACATAAACCAACGTCAACCTCATTAGCTGGTATGGAAGTTGGCGTCAAGAACTTCCTATGCGCAGGTGGTTATGTAAAGTAAAGAAAAAAAAGTATTTTTTATTTTTATAAACAATGCCCCCATATAGAATGGATAGAAGTCTGCGAAATTAAAGCAGAGTTGCATAAGATATGTTGGAGAGTTCGAAGATTTTAAAATATAGGAAGGGAAGACCCATTAAAAGTCTAATGACAAAACTGCTGGTCTTCGCCTACGAAATGGATTTGGAAACAGCACGTACCAATTATCAAACAGACTAGAGAGGATAGAAGAAGAACGTCTTACTGGCACATGGACTTTCGATGTTCAGTGAACCTTCGAATTTGAAGGACACGACGGCTTTGCCCAGATTCTACTGTAAACATGTTAGGACGAACAATTGCCATCTTTTGAGAAGGAAAAAAGGTAGTGCAAGGGATGATCATGCTTCCCATGGAAAGAACAAGATTGCATAATGAGAAGATATCGTTGAAGTTAGATAGTTCAATTAACATCTGGTCGAACAACCTTTTACTAGTAAACTTGACGAAGGAAAGAAACAAAAGAAGGGCTTCTAGGGAGTACGTTGCTTGCAATTCATAGACGAAATTAAGAAAAGGACACCCAATCTCAGATTGACCATAACAGATTTGTATGGTCAATTTACTATGCACAATGCAATTTGAACAAACACCAGAAGTCCGCAAAACTTTGCTTGGACGGCTTTCAAATAGACTAACAAAGATGAGACACAACCGATGGTTTGTACTCAGGTACTTCAGAACATTTATTCAATGACAATTGAAAGCAATTGCTAAGTGTTCAATTCGTGAAATGCGCAGCATTGAACCTTAACCCTCAAGTCAGTTTCAGACAACATACTATGGCCTGGATACTTTCCCTTCATAAAAATAGATCGTCTGACATATGACTTGACAAGGTTATGGGAATTTACAATTCAACTTGGAAACAATTGTCAGATGAACCTTTGCTATTCTTACAATGTTCTCAGGAACTCTGGTCTCTGTTACACGATGAGAAGAATTCTTTGAAGTATCTTGAGTCATTGTGTGAAGACGACATAAGGACTCATGCTTCAAGGCTTCAATTGCAAAAATGGCCACGTTGGCAAAAGTTGTCAATAGCCGAGGTCAACACATACCTACAGACCATAAAGGTTCTTCACTTGACGACATATGTTTGTGACAAAGATTTACCATGGTTGAAAGTTGGTTATTGTGCCATCAACTTCACTTCATGTTGAACGAAAAGTCTTACAACCCACCTTGTCGAAAAAGGCAAAGTGCAAACATTGTCAGAGCTTGTAGAACATTTCTTTTCGTTGAGAAAGGTTTTGTTTGAACCCAATCTCCAGCATGGACAAGCTTCACAGAAACTTTATTACCAAAAGCACGAAACAAACTTTCACTGTCTAGCAAGCACAAAAGTTGTTCCAGGGACAAAGTTACTAGTTACCAAAAGAAGTACACATTCCACAACGGAGTTATGGATTGTTCGGATACAACCTCGAACCAGAAAGAACTTCCAATGACGGTTTGAAAGCAACTTCAAGATGCCTGATAAAGTAAAAACTAATCCATTGAGAACATCCAATTGACGTCAATATGTATTGTGAGAGCATCTGAGTGTTAAGGTCAGAAGGGTTTCATGATCGAACAGTGTTGCTTCGACACGATGTTTATGAGATAAACAGGAGAAGTTTCATGAAGATAAGAACTCACTTCGAATTCACCAAAAGGACCAATTGGTTGGCGGACAAGTTCGGACTCAAACGGAAAAGATATACTATAGTCGACCTTAACGACTTACGTACCATGAGGTTAATGTCCAATACTTGATTCCGGACTGGCAATCCAAACGAAGATGGGTTGAGTATCCGGGTAAGGAATCTATACAGTTGGAAAATGTCTACAAAGAACTGTTATGATATAGGTAAACGCTTCAACCCAAACTCTGCAGATTGGACACTCAATTTGCTTTATGAATTCGACATGGGGATATTTTCATTAAAAAAACCTCAATTAGAATCTTGAAGTAGTAAACAATTATGAGAGTGGTCGACACTTTGTTGAAAGGTTTTCTCCTTTTGTTTCTGACAGTACGAATTCTATCCGAAGTAGTCAAAGCAAAAAATGGCTTCTGAGTAACCACATTATAACCTATTGTCGAACATTGGTCTTACCACTCAGTTCGCAAAAAATCAGTCCTTTGACAACTACAACAAAATTCTTCTTCGGAAGTCAAATCCACACGTAAAGGTTTACTAGAGCACGGCATTGAACCGCACTCATGACCGAACGAAGAAGGACTACAACACAACCTCACTTGAAATGGCGTATTGGTCGGTGAGAAGAATGGTCAATTTCAAATTGGGACAAAATTTTCACGGAAAGCTTCATGTCCTCTCCAAAGCGTAAGTACTGGGGCTAACTGAAACGACAGAATATAAATCATTGCCATGAAATAAAAATTTTTATTCGAATTTAATTAAAATGTTGGGAATTCTTGGAAACAGGAAAGGCTTAGTTTACATTGAGGAACAGGTAAAGCAGGTGGAGGTGGGATTGGTGAGGTTGGCAACCAGTCCATCGTATATTCCCTTCCATAGGCTAACTTCCCGTTTAATCTTTCAATGCGCCCTCGGCGAGTCTTTCGAATCGGACAGGTCGAGTTACACCATTCTTGGTCTCAAAACTCATATTATAACCTGTCTTGTCTGCTATTTTCGTCAGACGATATGGCACCGAGACACGAACATTGACAAAGTCACAAAAAGTGTACAATTTCGGATGGCCAAGGCAGCCTAATCGCATTCGAGCACCTTCGGAAGAAAGCCTTACGTTCAAGGAAGAGCGGTGTTGGTGGCAAGGGATATGAGGTCATGAGACTCTCACGAGCTAGTACATTCCTCAATGGGCCTGGTAGAGGACACAATCGTTCCTTGGATTTGGCAATCTACCAGAACTCCTCTGGCAGACCTCACTAACGCAACTAGGATGATCGAAAGAGTCCAATCAAAGGTCGGGAACAATAGCTAATTTTGCAAATTGACCTTAATTTCACATTACTTTATCCAAATAAACACCTAATTACTTTGCGGGTTCCCTACATAAAATTTTTTTACTCTCTAGAACCACTCGAGGTTCTCCTTACGGTTGTTGAGCTTGTCACCGTCAATGTGTCTGAACCTCGATCTTCTTGCCTGGATTTGAGAACCATTCAATTGCACAGCTTGCCTCATGGAAATTTAACCCGCAGATCCGAAGGTTTAAGGTTCAAGTGTCCCAAGTTGTTG